TGGTTTATGAAAACTCAGTGTTTTGTATCCAATTTGGACATGCCTGTGGTTGCCTTTTCGTCATGCGGCAGCGTTGTGTTTTCAAATTATCGATAACTAGAATATAGTAACGAATTTGCCAAATATTAGCAATTTGTTTCATTCTAAGATGCTTTTAGCAAATCAATCTTATGGGTATTAGCCACAAGGCGTAAACTGCTAAACATTTTTTTTTTTTTTTTTTTAAGGGGGGAAAATCATCGAATGACTGCTCCCGCCTGGGTGAGGCGGAAGGGAGTGTCAGACTCTTACTGACTAAAAACCACCCCGTTCCTTCTCCTGCACGTCGAGCCGGAGCCCCGGTTACCCGTTAGGTTCTCCGCGACTCCGAATCGGCATCGGCCCTATTGGGCCCCATCTGTGGTGGTCTGATGGCTCTTTGAGGCGCGCGCGGAACGCGACGCGCCGTACGCTCGGGTCTGTTTCTGGTCGGACGGGGAGCCACCCATGCTCGCCGTCCGCAGGCCCGCGCTTACGGTGGCCGGAGATCGTCCCGCGATCCCCGACGCCCGGTGTGTCCTTCGCGATGGCTGGGTCGCGAGGAGGCAGCGCTTCGCTGCCTCACGCGTCCCGCCTCCTCCTTAGCTAGCATGACTGCTTCGCAAAAGGAGGAGACGGCATCCCAGTCCCCCTCGCTCCGCATCATGGCCTGCACTAGGCCCGGACGCGAGAGGTCGCCATCGCCGATCACCTCCCTGAGGGCACGGCGGTGCTCAGCCCACGCAGGGCATTCCGCTACGGTGTGTTCCACCGTGTCCCCAGGGCGGTCCTCGCAGTGATGACACCCGGGCGTTTCCTCCCGCCCCATCAGACACAGGTACCCCCGAAACTTCCATGTCCGGTGAGGACCTGCGTCAGGCGGTAGGTGAGGACGCCGTAGCGTCTCTCAAGCCACTCCTCAAAGAGGGGACTTACCGCTGCAATGGCAGCGAGCCCAAAACTGCTAAACATAGGGTTCCTTTAAAGACGTTCAGGCAGGATGCTTTCCCCTGACCTTTGTTGACCTTTACTTGCAAAAATATTACATACAAAGAAATATTTAAATTTCAACAAATATCTGCGTATTTATTTGTTAAACGCAATAAGCGGAACATCTCAATTTACGTTGCATTGTTAAATTTAATCGATATAAAATCTTTGTACTTATTAATAGTGCCTATCGATATATAGTCGATTTTTCCTTTTTCATAGTCTTTTTGGTTATTTGTTATGTAAACAAAACTAGTTCGTGAATAAGTAGGTGTTTAGTGTTTTAATTAATACTAGTGCATTCGCATTAAATATTAGTATGTAAATGATTGCAAATATAACCAGTAATGGTCGAATTGTCTGCTGCAATGGTAATTACATTTAGGTGACGTAATGTTTATATTAGGCCGGTTTAATAAGGACACAGTTTAATGATTAATTACGGTTACTATTTACTAGGTTTTACCTTCGGCTTTGTGCGCCTATATCCTCCGTGCACCCAACTAAATGTAAGCAAAATTTCTAGAATATTTAATCTAAACTAATCTTAAAAAAAAAAAAAAAAAAAAAAACCGTTGCCTCACACTAGGATTTTCTCCTGTGTCCAGTTGCCCAGCCACCGCGCCAACCGTGCAGTCAAATTTTATAATCAGATAAAGAGGTAACCGACGTACTTTCGCATCCACAATATTAGTTGGTATTCTATAATTTTATGCAGTCAAATTTTATAATCAGATAAAGAGGTAACCGACGTACTTTCGCATCCACAATATTAGTTGGTATTCTATAATTTTACATCTTGCAAAGAAAGTTGTATATCTATTGGAATCTAATAAATTAATCGTTTGACCTGAAATCGAAGACCTTCGGTTCACTAAACACCTACAAGGCGTACCGAAACATGTATTAGTATAGTGAAAGTGAACTACAACCAAAATCGTTTAACGCAAGTAGTGTGCACGCATTCACACCCACACAATGGTCAAGTTCTACGTGTTGACTATAAATAGAGAAACGAATGTTTGCCGTCTATACAAATGTGAGAAAAAATCCTTTGACAACTTTTTTTACGACTGACAATATTGTATAATGTTTGGTAAGAAATTCATATTTGAACTGTTTCTTTCGACAATTTTTTTTACATTTCATTTAAGTTTTTGTAAAGAAAGTTGTTTGTCAGAAATGTCAATAAGTTACATCTTAATGAACTGTTAAGGCACAAAGAGGAGCAATTCAAATGACAATGTTATTATAGATTTATTCTTGCCAAAACTAGTTTACATCGTGAAAATTAAGGCATTATCGACTGTCGCAAAGATGACGTAGGAAAACGTGAAAGCGTATTTCATATCAACGCTAGTAAGTTTTCTAAACACACTGCCCAAAAGCCATGAAATTGTGCTCGGTTATCAATCCTCACAATAATACTCTTATTTTCTTTGGTATGTTCACAAAAAGCGAAATAAGGCTGAACGTCGTCTGGCTTCGTAGACCGGTTGTGTGTTAACGTAACGTCAGGAATAAAAAAAGAAACATTTCATTTTGGGATTGTGTAACATCGATTATGAGTTTTGCGTTTAATAAATGATTGGCTTCTCATTGTGTGGGTACCTGTTTGTGACACCGATGCCTTCATATTACGCTTCGATTCCTACAAGCGACCAAACTTGATAGTTGTTTAAGTCGTAAACACTGGCCAAAAATATTTTCATTCTGTAGGGTTTTGTTATATCTTTATTGTGTGCATCGACAGAATTATGCTTTATTATACCCTAATACAATTTTACATGTATAGTTTTATTGTGAGAACAACTAACAAAGTCATTTCTCACATTGGTCAACCTTAAGTAAACCAATTTCTTCGCTCAATTATAAAATTTTCTTATCAACTTTCCATGTCAGTACATTGTATTGTATGTTTATAAACCCTTACGTTGCGACATACATAAAGTTACATATTATGTTATTGTTACATTTTATTGTATCATATGTTTGTAGGTCAGTTCCAAAGTTCATAAAACACTCGGTGTTTGCATTGAATTTTTAGAAAGTCTAGATTTCAATGAGTTTTTCAAGCATCACCCCTTTATGCACGAGATAGTTATCAACCGATACGCAGTGCAGTTCCTGCAATGTTCCGGTCTACTGTTGCAAAAAATCTTTAGCGAAGGCTTCTTCAGAGTCTATTGTTTCGTTTTACTGATGGATTGACGTGACAAGGCCCACGGACATCCTTTCGCTTCCACAGCCTTCGTCGCCTTGCCCTTTCATGGCGAGACCTCGCTGGTCAATTCGATTAAACTTTTAACCTTTTTCCGTTTTATATGACCCGTCCCTTTAGTAGTATTGTTTACCAATGACAGATTGTAATTTATATCGCTACTTGTCTTTGTTGAATGTCGGATCCGCTGGTGCTTCTGTCTGTCTCTAGTTTTATACGGCGCGCCGCTCGTAAAATATTTAGAAACGTTGTTTGGACAGTCGATGCTCATTTGTTTTTCCGGTTGAACGATTACTGACCTCTCGCCGCCGTGCCCCACACACAGAGCTCCTCGCTTGCTCTCCTACTTTTCAAAATACCATAAACCATAATGGATTAATGACGTTAATTTTTTAATTACATCCAAAAAGGTTTTTTATTCGAAAATGTCGTTTGGTTACATTAATATTCAACGAGATGATATAACTAATATGTCACAGAATATATGCAAGAATCTGGTGAAATTGTTCTTTTAGAATAGCGATTTCACTGTTGGTTTTAATAATTTGCATTTAATTGTCATAGGCGTTGGGAAGCGTGTGGTGGCTGTAAGATTTCAACGCATAGCAAAATTATTCTGCATTGTGTATTTGATTGGAAGCACTGTTTAATTCTGAAGTGTTCTAATTGACCTAAATTATCTTACTTTTAATTTTGCGTTCCTGATCACATAAACGAATTGTTGGTTCAGAAACGATAGTCTTCCTCGTTATTTGTAGTTATTAACTATTCTCTTTAACATTTTATTTTTAACTGAATTACTATTTGCTTCTACTGACACGCAATCTGCAGACGCAATAGCATTTGCATGTCTCTGAAACTGATCAGCAATTCACACTCCATTCCGATTGATCAATTCTGTACGTAATTTGGCAACGTTTGTTTCGTAAAATTTCATTATAGTCTCTAATTATTCGTATCGATTGGTATAGTTGATTGTTATCAGACTATAATGACCAGTGCTAGTATGTCTTCTAGTGTTGTTTATATGTGATAATCATATGCAAATTATTCCTTGTTAACTAGTGCAACATGTCCGGGCTTGTTGCCTCTAATTTTAAGCCTTTGTGCACTTTAACTTGGTCGTTTGAACTGATGTTTTGTTTATTTTATAATTTACATGAGACATACTAAATTAATGATTATGTTTTTCGGCTTACTCACGTAATTATTTAACGAGGAACTCTGTCGCACTACTACTGAGCAGCGCGACAGTCACCGCGTCGCGGGTCGCGGAGTGCTGCTCATGAATATGAGCCTCTAGCATGGCTTGAAACTAGTCGAACTCCTCGTCAAATAATTACGTGAGTAAGCCGAAAAACATATTAATTAATTTGATGTTTTGTTGTGGTACTGTGTTTGATTTGATGAGTAAAATGCAAATTAAGTCATAAGTGTAAATAAAATGGTAAAAGTATAGTTACTTGCTGTACTATGTAAACAGATCATGTCACAATTTTGTTAACCTAGCAAAAAATATAAAATGGTCGTGTCATGTCATCTCAGTGTTGATAATTTTTCAAGTCAGTTTATGCTATCTAACCGAAAATATTATTCTGTAGGTAGATCAAAAATACTAAGTAGTAACTAACTTTTTCGTTCAAAGTAGGTAGTCCAAAGTCCATCGACCTCAAAGTTAAATAAAACGTAATACTATTACAGTGACGTTCGATAGACCTGCGCGTCTGTGTAAGTTGTGAGATGTGATAGTGTGCGAAAACAAGAAGCAACAATGTGCAGCAAGGAACAGATAAACCACGTGCTGAGCAAGATCAATGTGGTGAGTACCGCCTCTATTTTATTTTTCTTATTGTCTCCTGGACTTTTGTTATGGGGTCGACTTATAGTGGTTTAACATGTTTGTAATTTATATGGGGAACTAATATATAATGAGCTCTTGAAACTTTTGCACTGGAAATTTTAGTCTTAAAGAAATTCTTGTACTATAGAGCAGATTCTTGCATCTGATGAGTATATCGATTCGAGTGGAAACTAATATCATTGGCTTTTGTAAAGGCATTTTCCGTTATAATATTTTCTGTAACGTGTTTACTGTGTATTTACTGACAATAAGATATAGTGATAATTTTATCTTGTGTAATATCTTATACAGAGTCGTCATTCATTAATAGGTATAAGATACATGTTCATTTAAATACCTACATTATCTATAACAAAAAAACTTGTTCTATATAATTTTAATAGACGTAATTAGACTATTTTTTATACCTTTGATAATGCCAGTCTGAAGTACCTATTTTATAAAACTTGTTAATTATAAAGTACTGTCTGACCTCCACTCTTAACAAACGACCATTGTTGATTTATAAAACTAACAAATTAATTTAAATAACATTATTACATAAATCAACCATGCTGCTATAATTACTGACAATAATTTGGTCATTAAAGAGAATAATTCGGATTTAATAAATCACTTTATCCAAATAATGACGCTTAAAGATAAATGTAACGTACTAATTGGTCGCAATTGACTTTTAATTACTTTTCTATATGAAGGTTGGCGCCAAGGTTGGTCATAGATATTGGGCCCAACATAAGAACGAAGTGATTTAGATGCTATGGGAGTGTTAAGGAAGGAAAATGAACTCTATTGACATTGAATGACAATTGGTATTGACTTTGTGACAATATGACCGACCCTGATTGACGGTCAATGATTTTTATCGGAGTTTATTTAGGTAACATCAGTATTAGGAAAAAGGATTGAATAGCTGTTTGGTGAGGGCAGGGTAGAGTAGATTTATTATCAGACCCGTTCATCCAGCGGGTGTAAGACACCCGGAGTAGATTAAGGGACTACTAATTTAACAGAGATCGGAACAACGTAGTGGCGTTCTGAGATAAATCTGTTCCTTTCAAACTTCAGTCGTTTAACTAGCTAAGCGTGTATGTGATGTCTTTCAGCTGATGTGATTTATTGTTACATTGTAGGTAACATCGTAATTTAAAAAAGGATTGATTACATATTAGCATATTAATAGTTGTAATGCATCGAAATCGGTTCAGTGATTTAGGCGTGAAAGCGTATCATGTTATTTAAACGTAACTTTTCAAAAACAATTATTTAATAAAAACTAACACAAGCAAAAGACTTCCTATCGTAAAACATCAAAATTAATGATTAATTTTAACTGTCTATTTTAATTGAGACGTTATTGGCATGGTTAAATATATTTTTTTATTGTTTCTCTTTAATTGTATATGTTATCCAATGCGTTTTAAAACGTATATCTTTTGCATGCTTATATATGGCTGTAGCTGTATTTCTATGTTACCTGTAACTGCTACCCATATATTTAACGTTATAAAAAATAAATTCATATTTAAAAAAACGCAGCTATCCAGTTTGTGTCAATTGTTATCTCCAATCCGCTATTGTCGTAAGCTGTTGAAATGAAAATATATTTTTTTTGATTTTGGATGACGTCTAATTCTTTCCTCAAAAGTATTTAATTTCAATTTAAGAATTAAAAAGGCCGATGAACGTATGTTCTCAGTTTTTGACATTGGCCTATAAATGTCAATGGCTTTTACGCCATTATGAAGCGTGAATAATTACTGAGCGTATTGTACTGCGGTCTGCACTGCGGTGGGATTCGGGGGATTGCACCTGCATTCTGTTAATGCAATAGATACCTTGTGCCGTCTGTGTTAATTCACAGTTTTGATTAACACTTTATTTGGGATCCTTATTAAAAAGAATCATAATAGGGTTAATAATGCAATATATACCTTACATAACTATGTTAATGTACAATTTTGAATGATACATAGTCCTTTGAAAAATAACCATGAATAGTCCGTAATACGATTTATAGAAAATTATGTCTCTTTTTTTAACATGATCACCCCTCAAGGATTATAATTGCAATAAATAAGTCTCCTAGTAATAATAGCATTTGTTATTTTATTTGTATTTTTCTAATGTTGTTTGTTCAGCCCTTGGGATATTCTTTACGCAAGGGGCCATCGATTTCTGTTTAGACAACCCTATGTTTATTAGACGACAGGGGTTGTGTCAATGACTTTTGGTTAGAATTATAATTTATCTGTGCAGTGCAACAAACTTCCCTATTTTTCTTTTGGTTATGCTTAAATCTATTCTTTTAAAGGGTAATTGCGAAAATCAATATTCACAGTAGCCAATTATGATATTTTTTGTGTAATGTAAATATAAGTGTTATTCTATCTATTGTAATAGTTATGTTCTATTATTGACCTGTTTATTAATATTGCAAACACATTTTGAGAACCCAATGACATGTTAATCGGTTATTCAAACGTGAACAAACATTAATTACATCAATTATCGTATTTATTCTGCATCTAATGTACTGATTAAATACATATTGATCGATATTCTAATCTCAAGGGATTGCTGTATGAATATGCAGTGTTTTGAGATTAGGGTTGCCATATAGGGGTTTTGTCCGACATTTTCCAGACATGTTCGAAAGGGGTTTGGCCGGAATGCGGGAGAAATTTTTATAAATAACTCAATCAGACGAAAAATTAAAAACAATAAACTGGTGCAAGTTCATGAGCGAATGCAAGTGCGTCAAAATTTTAAACCAATTTGCAAATTTTTCATATATAGACAACATAAAAAGTTCGAAATTTTCACCTAAATTTCGGAATCCTCATTGAAATTGATGTTTTCATTTGGGAACCCTATTTGAGATACTGTCTATGTGCATATTCAGGTTGTATTTGTGTTTGTCTGAATGTATGAATGCTCGGGGTTCTCGTGTGTTCGGCCAGGCGTGCTGCTTTGAATGTAATCTGACAAAGATTACATTTTACTTACTTACATATATTTTGTAGTATTGCGTGGTACCTATATATTTGAGAGCTGAATGTTTTGAAGTTATTGATAACATGCCTTTTATTATACACAGAGGCAGGTAAGAGGTGTACTTATAGTTGGTATTACCAATTTTCTTATTTAATTTTAATAAGGAACATGAGTAGATGATGCCATTAGAGACCGCCATTGCTCTAGTCTAGGAATATAGGAATAGGAACTATCTAAGTGATTAATATTGTAATAGGTTTAAGTTTCTTTTTTGTATCCTAGAATGTAAGTATTTTGGCTCTTGCTGTAAACTTTCATTTTAATGTAAATAAATAAATAAATAGTCGGCCTAAATCTAAATCACATCATCATACTGTGAATTTTAATAATAAATCGTCCAATAATCACTCTCGACTCTGGAATTTGAGTCCATATCTAATTTGTACTGAACTGTTGTACTTACGACCTCTAGGTCATGTCTACACCAATGTATTAGTAAAATTTTCTTAAATGTTTCTGTAAACTCGTTGCAAACAATATGTTCCAATTTTCTTATCGAAAACAAGTATAGAACCAGTAAGTCGTGCCTACGTATATAATGCATAATACTTATTTAGTACTTATTCGTATTTCGGTTATAAAGTATCAATTTGTTATCAGTGACACGAGTCGAGCAAAGTAATATGCAACTAGTTCACGAACGTTTCCAGTAATAGTGGTGTTAAGATAATATAGTTTTAAAATATGTTTTGTGTTTTTGGCTGTTTGTTTCGTGCAGAGGGCGCTAGCGTAGCTTTTGGGCGCATTCTCATACAAAATTATTTTTTTAATTTTCTCAGTAATAGCTCTAAGTCTGGAATTCTGCCTGGTTTATGACAATAACTTATGGTGAAACGTGGTTGTACAATATATACTGTGTTTGTAGCATTATTCTATGTGTCATTTTATGTACATCTCTGTCTACCTCTTCGGGAATGAAAGGCGGAAGGGTACAAATATGTAGGTATGTGACGCTTCGATGCATAAATGTTGATATAAAAACAATAGGACAGATCGTGAGCCTATATGGTCCGTATTGAGTTGCCTTTAAAAAAATAGCTGGTCCTTCGATACATTTATTAGTCGTGCATTACTTATTGACAGCCTAACTAATTAAAACATTTTAATTGGCCTTCGATATTCAATCACGATCAATATTTAGATTTATTTTTTATAAGCAAAACATTTGTTACTTTATGAATCGATTAGTAGACGCACTATCGAATTGTAATCGATTTTAATATCAAATCGCAAATTAGTATCGTAATTTGCGATTTGTGTTGCAGTAACTATGAAGGTTAGTATTGATGGTTTTTGGTAATTATTGTATTACATGCCAACAATATCTGTTTAAAATGTAACAGTTCAGATATTGAAGAACAAGATATAATTGTAATGTTTTTAGTGGAGCAGTAGAAATGAAATTAATTCTTTCCATTTTTTGTTAGTCTGTCGATGTATATTTTCCGATGCACCGCAAAAACTACTTTATTGGATTCAATGAAATCTTCACCAATATATGAATAAGAGGAATAAATTAAAATACTCAACTTTTTTATAATTACACGCATTGTAGTTGCAGTACAAATGATATGAATACGTACATACATACGTAGGTATAATGAATTATGACCATTTCAGCGAATGTAAATTGACATTGGGATTTCGTGGAGGTTTCTAGACCTAACAGTCCGAATATCCGATGATCCGTATGTCTGATAAATTAGTTAAAATGTTTTGTTGGCAATGAAAAATTTTTAAAAAACTCGTAGGTTTTATTCGCGACTTTGTGCTCGTTCTAAAAGTGATTTCGGGAATCTTGGTCATCTGCATCTCTCGTTCTTGCACCAAGAAAGTTACACAAACTACTACACTATAGGTACGAAGTTTCAGTATAATATTGGGTTATAATGTAACCTCAC